AGGCTTTCTAGTAATACTTCAGCAGTGTCTTCTTTGTGTTTTTTTTTTTATGGCATTCCAACTGGATATTTTGTTTTAATTTGTGTTACACATATACACGCATACACATACCCACTTCTACTAAACTTTTGAAGCGCTTGCCCTTTTTCGCATTTGTTAGCATTATGATGCATCATTGTTGGCTGTCAAAACTTTTTTATTTTCCTCAAGCTCAATGCTTGCCTCCTCGGCGACTGAACAACTAAACACACAACTCTCCAGCCAGCTCAATTGGGCCGCCGCTGGTTGCATATCAATTTTATGTATGTATAGGTTGTACGTGCTGCCAACATGCCACCCTCGAGGGATCTAATCAAAACTGAAACTATGAAAGCAAAAGTAATAATATTGCTAACAAACAAGCACAATACAGCAAATACAAGAGCTGATTTAGTGAACCCATGCAATTTGAAGTTTTTCTACATCGAAGGAAAAATCAAAATAGGAAAACATTGCAATGAAGAACTTCTATGGTACTTAGAAAAACTGCTACATGGTTTTATGAAGACTACTTTCTTTTCAAATCTGAAGTGCATTTCTTATGTAGAATTTAGGGAGCTAGCCCTATAAACTTTTATAATTAATGTCTTTAGAAAAAAGTTATTTTCGGACTTTTTAGTCAAGTAAATTTTTTTAAGGCCTAAATAAAAATCCTTTCCTAATAATAAACAAACCGCTTAACCCAATTAAACAAATTTGTTATCAAATAAAAGGTGAGTAAGGCTTTCAAACTAAAATATATTTCACTTGTTGAAATATATAAAACTTGTTGAAATATATTTCAATTAAAAATTTTATTTCATTGCCACAAAACAAACCTTGGTCAGCTATATGAATTGCTTATGTATTAAATTTAAAAAAAATATTTTAATAGGTGGCAACATTCGTTTAGATATGCCTATTTGAAACCTATTTCAGTCCTTTTTCATTTGATAACAAATTTGTTTAATTTAGATAAGCGGTTTGTATATTATTGGGAAAGAACCTTTATTTCGGCCTTAAAAATTATTTGGCCAAGTTAAACTTTTATTACTGGACTAAAAAAATAAAAGTCCGGATGTTTCAGTTATTTTGGAATTTTTCCTAAAAAGCTAGAAAACTTACTAGTTATACATATCAGTGTCATTTTTTCCTTAAATGTTGTTTTATAAAAACTAGTTGAAGTCAATTATACGGTTACCGCAAAACGAAAAAACTGCAGACGAAAAAATTAAAATGTTATAAAAACATTCTCAAAATTTAAGTTATTTCATTGAAGTTTTATAAAATATTTAAACATGCAAGTTTTATAGCCTATTAAATTGTTGTATACTTATGGCCTTATTCATAAAAATTAAATAGATTTAAAGAGCTCTCTAAAGTGACGTTTTCATACAAATTTTAAATTTCTAAAGCAGTTAAAGTCTTTGTTATTTTTTATGTATTTGGGTGTTAGACTTTAAGGAAAATCCTAAGTTTTGAAATGACACAAAAATTGTTAATACGGATGGGTATACCGTTTTTCTAGATCAGGCCATTTCCCCACAAAAATTTAATTTTCTTGAAAAATAATCAAACTTTAACAAGGAAAAAGTAAAAGAAAAAAATGCCAAATCTATTTTGGTTTTAGAAGAAAAATTAAGCTACTAACGGTAAATATCGATGGAGAAATAAAAAATTTTTAAATGGTCAAACTTTTTGTAGGAAATAGGAGCAGGAAATAAAGTTACTCAAATACCATATCGTACATGGCGTATGAGTAACATTCCAAACTTAAAATTAAAATAGATATCTTGGGAAAATTACCTAATCTAGCAAAATTGTGTATAGATCCGCAATATATGACCCAAAATTATGTTTGCGTCTTTCGGCGGTCATTTTAGCGTCCCTACAGAGTTAAAAAATCGCGTTGAGATTAAATAAATGGTACTGTTGGCAATAATAAAAATAAAAGTCAGTGTGAATTCTTAACAACTTCAAACTTGCACCCTATTAAATATACCAAAATTTAATGGACTATGAAACTCGCTTTCACAGTTATAAAAAAAATTAGCTACATAATTTTGCATTGTATTTTTAAAGAGAAGATTTTCGCCCTCCAACCAATTTCAAATTCGATCAGACTTTTCTTACTTGTCTTGGTCATTGTTTATCCAGCCATTGTATTAACTTGTAATCTCTTGGCCATTCTTTAATTTCATACATTGTCTTTTACGCTCAATTCAATGAGTTTCATTATCAACATCTACTTCGCCTTTGCCTTCTTAAATGTGTTTTCTTGTCTCTCTCTCTCTCTATTTATACAGTGACATTGTCATCCGGCTCCAGTC